CACTGTTGCTTGACAGCAAGAAGGTCGCTGGTTTGAGTACTGGCTGGTTTAGTTGGCATTTCTGTGTGCGGTTTGCATGTTTTTCCTGCGTTCACCGGTGCTTTGGTTTCTCCCACAGTTCAAAGACTTACAGTATAAGTGAATTGGATGAACTAAATTGGCCGTAGTGTATGACTGTGTGTGTGTGTGTGTGTGGATGAGAGTGTATGGGTGTTTCCCTGTTCTGGGTTGCAGCTGGAAGGGTATCTGCTATGTAAAACATATGCTGAAATAGTTGCCGATTAATTCCGCTGTGGCGACCTCTGAAATAGAGATTAAGCTGAAGGAAACTAAATGAATGAATGTTGATGTACTTCTATCAGAAATAAAATATTGTCGGCAGCTAGCTCTCTGCAACTCTCACATGGTCGCCCACTGAAGCTAAGCAGGGCTGCGGCCAGTCAGTACCTGGATGGGAGACCACATGGGAAAGCTAGATTGCTGCCGGAAGTGGTGTTAGTGAGACCAGCAGGGGGCGCCCAACCTGTGGTCTATATGGGTTCTGATGCCCCAGTATAGTGACGGAGATTTTATACTGCTCAGTGAGCACCATCTTTCGGATGAGACGTTAAACCGAGGTCCCGACTCTTTGGTCGTTAAAAATCCCATGATGCCATTTGAAAAAGAGTAGGGGTTTAACCCCAGCATCCTGGCCAAATCTGCCCACTGGCCTCTGTCTATCATGGCCTCCTAACCATCCGCATACCATAATCTGTTTCCTCTCCACCAATCAGCTGGTGTGTGGTGTGCGGTGTGGCACAATATGGCTGTCGTCGTGTCATTTAGGTGGATGCTGCACACTGATGGTGGATGAGGGGATACTCCCAAAAATGTGTAGAGCACTTTGAGTGTCTAGAAAAGCGCTATATAAATGTAAGAAATTATTATTATTATTAATTATAATGTAGCACAGGGGGCACTATAAGAGAGGTGTGCTTAAGTATAATGACTGAAGCCATCAAGCTGACATCACTCCAGAAGCAAATGGTCAGACTTTGATTAAAGTGAATTAACATGTACCAAACCATTGTTCAAATTAAAAGTTCAAATAAAAAAAGTTGTATTGCTCAAATTAAAGTTGAAAGTCAACCGCACCTTAAACAGGGCTACCCAACTTTTTCTTATAAAGGGCTAATAACCAAATTTGATTGAGTGCTCTCATTCTACTACGTTCTGTTCCGATAATCAGTTCAGAATAACAGTGTAATCTTCCAGTCTTACAACTAAATTGTCAGGTCAACAAGGTGTTAAAAACATTTGTAGTGACTTTGGTCCACACTGCATTGCACCACATCCCAAAGGTGCTCTATTGGATTGAGATCTGATGACTGTTTAGGCCATTTGAGTTCAGTGAACCCATTGATATTCTTAAGATATTGAGAGGATTTGAGCTTTGTGACAAGACATGTTATTTTGCAGGAAGTAGCCATCAGAAGATGGGTTGACCATGTTCATGAAGAGAAGGACATGATCAGCGACAATACTGAGGTAAGATTTGGTTTTTAAATAATTTTTGCTTAGTAATAAGGGGCCCAAAATGTACCAGGAAAATAGACCCAAAATATTACAGCTTGTTAAAAGGCAGGGTGAATGCATTATCCTTTCTTATGACACATTCTGATCATACCATTCAAATTTCACAGAAGTCAACAAGAACTAGCAGCAACCTTTTACAGTCTTCTGTTATCCAGTTTGCTCAGCACATGGGTATAGTGAAAGTTTACTGTTCCTAGATGGCAGTGGTGGGCTCTTCTGCTGCTGCTGTAGCTCATCTGTTTCAAGGTTTGCTGTGTTGTGTGTTCAGTGATAATCTTTTGCAGACTTTGGTTGTAACAAGTTGTTATTTGAGTTACCGTTGCTAGATCATTTCTAGTTTTGAACATACTCTGCTAACCCAAGAAATGGCTGAGTTTTTTTTAAATATACAGTAAAAAAGGTTGTTACAATCTCCTAAATCACTGTTCTCCCTCATTCTGGTGCTCGGTTTAAACTTAATATATCTAAATCTTACACAATAGAATAAAGACTAACCAACAAAAGTAGGACTGTCACGCTTTAGATATCAGAAAATACTGTTGTATACAGTAGTAACGTTTTTGGCTTGTAATTTTATTCAATGACAAAAATGTGTTTTAAAGTTTTTGTTCAAAAACGTGACGACCTGCCATCTCCAATATGTCATCTTCTTTTTTATTGATTTAATTATTTTGCTATTGTAAAGCTAGATTGTGACATTTGCCTGGCATCATTAAATAATAACAAACAAACCAATTAGTTAGTCATGAAACTCATCATAATAACATAAAGAGCTGTCTCTCCTAAACTATTTGTGACATTTGGATGTCTTGTTGCATAACCGGCACATGCAAATTTAACAAAATGTAATTTGAGAAAAGCAAAATGGATAAGACAAGTCGAACTGATTGCCTGCATATTTGTAAAGTTAGTTACAGCTCGCGCTTTCTTTATTCCACATTTTACGCCTGTATACTTTAATTAACAGCGCTGCTCATCGGCGGCGGAGCGCGCGCGGACTGAAAGAACGTTCCGCCTGCATCTGATTTGGATGATTTCGTTCCGGGTTGTCAGTGGCTGTCAGGTCTCCGCTCCGTGCTGCTATTGAAATGATTTTCTGTTCGCGATCTCTTTGTTTTGGCTGGCATCAATCTCATTTTGCCTGCTTTGAGACAGCTGCCAGATTAATCTTGGAGTCTGTGCGCAAACCCATGCCGAAAGGAGCTGAGGAAGGTGAGAAAGGGCGAATTGTCATTCATAAACCTTCTATACGAGCTCTCAAATATGCCCCGTTCACCCTTTACGTGATTGTTTTCTGCTTTTTGACTTAAGTTAGGCTATACTGTCACAGAGCACACAGCCTCCAGTGGATCTGAGCGCGTGCGCTTGTCATTCAATGCTGTGGTGCCAGTTCACGCACAAGCGACAGACAGCAACCATTCAGCTGTTGTAGAAATCTCTTGAGATGATGATTTAGAAAGTAAAGAAAACACCCCATCCCTTCTCATCTACACACACTCGTTTTAATAATGCGTGGTTTGTTTATCTTTAGCAACTTTGCTGTTGTTCTGGGAAAACTCGACACTATAAAAAGCACAAAGCGTGTTTGGATTTCCAGCAGATGAAGTGATATTTTGGGAGACACATGAAGGCTCGTGCTGTTGAGCGCTGTCCACGAGCGGTGGTGCTGAACCTGTGCGCTGCGCTCAAGAGCCTCGCGTATGTTGAGAGACTGGCTCTTCATAAGCAATATCACGCCTGTAAAGACACAAGCCACATAGGAGGAGCGCGTGCACGGCTGGGGAAGCTTAGCCTTCTTCTGATCACGTGCATAATTTCTGTATATGATCACAGATGCGGTGGGATTCAAATTGCTGCCCTGGGATAACTGGATTTGGGGACGGTTTCCCTCCCCAAATCTAAAAGTTAATTACGGGTGTGCAGGCATAAATTGGAGTTGGATCAGTGGCTACATATTTATTTTACATATTTTGTATGTGTGCGTGCACAAAGAATAATGTAATTTATGTTATTTAAAGTAGCCTATATTATTTTTAAAATAGCATGTTTCCACACTCAGGTGGGCTACTTGGTTTAATCTTGGTTTGGATACTCAGTTCGATCAGATTTTTTGTTGGGCTGTTTTGTTAGGTTTTCAACACATTTTCAGTCATTAGGAAAACAGGACTTTCAGCATAAACAGGTTTTAAGATATACTCCTCCTATAACTCTATATAGTGTAACAGGTGTAAACAATGACTGTCACGTTTGTTGCTTGTTCGTGTTGGCTAATACATGGATTCCAAACATGTTTTTCAGCCAAACCCATTTGACATTAAACACTTAGCTAATTGAAATCACTCTGAGAAACTTCATGTTCAAACAATTTAACAACATAATTGCATGGTCTTCCACTCACCTTCACACTGACATGCAAGTAAACATAACATATAAAAAAATCTGGTCTAAAAAATGTGATTTTTAAAAATTATTTATTAATATGATTAGGGCAGCATGGTGCCGCAGTGGGTAGTACAATCGCATCACAGCAAGGTTGCTGGTTCGAGCCCTGGCTGGGTCAGTTGGCATTTCTGAGTTTGCATGTTCCACCGTGGGTTTTCTCCTAGGTTCTCCGGCTTCCCCCACAGTCCAAAGACATGTGGTATAGGTGAACTAAATAAGCTAAATTGGGCGTAGTGTATGTGTGTGCAAGAGTGTATGGTTATTTCCCGGTTTTGGGATGCGGCTGGAAGGGCAAAACATGTGGTAGATAAATTGGTAGTTCATTCCGCTGTGGCGACCCTTGATTAATAAAAAGACTAAGCAGAAAAAATGAATGAATGAATGAATGAATGATTAAATAAATAATATGATTTAATTAATTAGCCCCACAGCACGAGGGTCACTGGTTCGGGTCCCAGTTGGACCAGGAGGCCTTTCTGTGTGGAGTTTGCATGTTCTTCACGTGTTTGCATCGCATGGGTTTCCCCCACCGTCCAAAAGCATACAATAAGGGGAATTAGAGAAACTAAATTGTAGTAGTGTGTGAATGAGAGAGCGTGTGGGTGTTTCCCAGCACTTAGGGTTTAAAACAGTTTGTAAGACATCTGCCAGAGTATTGGTGGTTCATTTCACTGTTGCGACCCCTGATAAGCCATGGAATAATAGTGATTGAGTAAATGAGCTTCACATTAACTCACAAAGTGACTGTATTTCTTACATTGACCACAGTTTAGGGAAAACTGGCGAAATTAAATATTTAATCCATTTCTGTTGAAAAGACAAAAAGAGTAGCATAGATTACGTCACAAACAGTTTTCATAATACAATATACATTGACGGACTACAATACTGTGCTACACAAATCGTCAATTTCAGATTGTCTGACTTGTAAGTGTATTATGTAGCAAAGTGTTGTTAATCCATTGACCTTTTTATTGAACCACTGTGTTTAAAGACTTCTCTAAACGCAATAGTTCAACCAAGTAGCTGCCCTAATAAGCCGAATTCTGTAATGAGATCTGCTTGAATAAATGCATTTGTCTTGAAGGATGTTTTAGGCATCGGGAAAAGAGACAGCGCCGAGAGCAGGAGCATCTCACAGGACAGTACCGGCTATAGGTTGATTCAGTCGAACCTGCGGACTCTCAGGTGATTGGCTGGAGGTGGATGACATCATTGAAAGTCCGCTGCCTCAGCCGCGCGCTAAACTCCTGGAAAGAGATCAGAGACGCTCGCGCGGATGGGAGCCACATCTGGCGGATTGTAAACCGACTCGTTCTAGACAAAAGCAGTCGCTCGAGGTGCGCTTAGGTAAGCAGCAGTCGCGATGGTCAGAGTCTCAATCAGCGTCTCACCGCTGGCCAGAGCCGCGCGCGTCAAGAGCGCATGATGTGAAAACAAAGTGTTCCGGCGCAACATGAGGACAGCCCTTCTAATAATCGCGAGGAAAAACTTGACGGAGTGAAAGAGGAAGGCTGGATTCCTTTTTCTTTTTTCTTCTGGCTGGTTGAGCATTTTTAAAACCATGCAACATGAATGTAACTAACAGCACTGGAGCAGAGGGACTCGCGCCCTGGAACTTCAACGGTAAGTTGCGAGTGAAGGCGTCGAGCTTAATGTGACACACACAAAGAGTTAGAAAGAGTTTCTTATCACCACTGGGAATTACGACGGATGTGTCCAGTGTGTGGGTATTCATTCTGAGACTATATCCAAACAAAGTGACTCACATTTGTGACTGTAGCCAAACTGCCCTCTTTATGTTTTCCAAGATTAATGTGTTTTTATTTTCTGTTATTGTGTAAGTAGGCTAAAATCATTAAGCAGAACCCTTTTCACCTTGTCAGATTGAGTTGTAAAGAAACAAGATGAGCATTAATGGTACTTAGGCACATCTGCAGAAGGGGCTAAACCGGTTTATCCCAGTCAGTGTGCGCTGCAAGTGAACATTAAACATAAATATCATTAAATTATTACTGTCAAATGTGTTTTTCACTCAGTTATGTTGCTTATGATATTGAAGTGGAGGAACACAATTATTATCAATTAAAATTATTATTATTATTTATTATTATTATTATTACAATAAAAAATCATGTTTTTATTCATTTTAAATACATTAGTCAATTATTTGTTCATATGATTAACTCAAAACCAAAATTGTATTGCGTCATACGTGAATGTTTCATCCATTTAGATTTTGTTTATCAGGTAAAGTTTTTGCAGATATAAAAAAACTTGTAAATGAGGGTTTGTGTTAATGTACAAGTGTGGCTGAGAAATGATTCTTTGTTGATTTCTGCTGGAATGCCCTGTGGTATTGGCACAGGAGTGGATTTGACAAGGGCTGATTGATGTTTAGGGGAGATTACTGTTGATGTTTACATATAGATTAGTGTAGGTTTTAGGCTAAAAGCCATTTCTGGCCAATTCACCACTGGCTTATCTGTCTCTGCCACTCTGTTAAATGATCTATCAGGACCTGATCTTTAGCTCTTTCTGCTGCTTGTGATTTACAGAGTAGCAAGAGCCCAAAGTGACAGCCCACAATGCCATATTATTTCCCTTAATTTTTTTTATTAATTTTTATGCACAATTCATTAAAAAAATCTTTAAGAATCCTCTCTTTCTCAACTGTTTATTTCTATAATGCTTTTACTATGTAGATTGTGTCAAAGCAACTTAACATAGAAGTTCTTCACATAATCTACTGTATATTTAATCATGCAACGACCATATCTGTTCCACGTCTTCAGTTGAATGTGAATGTTAAGATAGATGAAATTGATAAGGGGATAAGCCCTGCTCTTGCTGATAAGTATGTCATATGCTGTACAGAACACACATGTGCATTTCATTTAAATAATCTGTGCATTGAATCCAGTTGTCAAAATGTTGTCTTTTCCGTTCATAATAAGCAGAGTGCATATCATCACTGAGCAGGCACACATTCCCCCCTCAGAAGCTTCTACAGACGCTTCTCTCCAAACTGGCTTTAAAGTAGAAAATGTATACAGGCATTTTGGGGGCTCTGAACATGGGAGAAAGAAACAAAAAGACTGAGTGTTGGTCAAAGTTCTCTCAGAGAGGATTTTCAGATAATACAAATCTCTCAGTTTTGTTATCTCAGACAGACTCAATCACATCTCACTGCTGCGCATGATGGTGCCTCTTTGATTCTGTGACCATGATTCTTACTGTGTGAACTGGTAAAGTACTAGAAGAATCCCCTAGAGTCAAAGTCTGATCTCTCTCTCTCTCTCTCTCTCTCTCTCTTTCTCTCTCTCTCTCTCACTTTCTCTCTCTCTTTCTCTCTCTCTCTTTGTCTCTTTGGCGGGGTGTTAACCCAGTTTCACAGAGGAAAGTGTGTCGCTATGCTGCTGTTTCACCCTGTTACACACACACACACAAACACTCTGAGAAAAGAATGAAATGCCTGGAGACACAGCCAAATCTCAGTGGCTTCTCAACGGGGAGAGAGAACAGCTATAACAGCTGAAGCAGCAGGACTGGCTTTTAGCTCTAAACAAAGCCCTGAGCGTTCTGCCACCGGCCACCAACAATTGCATCACCTGTGACACCTTTAGACTAAATATTTCATCAGATGTAGCACATGTTGGTTGTGGGCACAGTGTATCATTACATTGCGGAAGCCTTGAGTGGAGCATCATAAAATGATGGACAGCACTGGACATTGAAACAGACTCTGATCTCAAAATGGCACTCTTTATTGTCAAAACTGACACGTAATTGGGTTCAGACTATCAACCTCAGATTATTATCAGACCTCAGATCATCAAAAAGTGTATATTAGGACTGACAATAATGGATTTAGGTTAGAGAACACATAACTAGGACCAGAGAGGAACTATAAACATTTTCTTGCTATTTCTGCGAAAAAATTTGTTTTAAAAATCTGAGGATTTATGAGGAATTATTTTGGGAATATCATAACTAAAAACTAAATATATGAAATAAAAAATAATAGCTTTTTAACTTTTATTTAATGTTTACAATGGAAATCCATCTAGAGCCACTTATTTGGTAAACAGTCTATCAAGAACGAAAATATTACTTCACAAACTTTATTGCAAATAAAATGAACACTTTCATTGTCATAAAAGTAATAAAATTACTGAAATTCATTTAAAAATGGAATAAATATCAAATGACACATTTAAACAAGTAAATAAATACGCAATGATGGGTTAAAAATCTGCGGAAATCTGTGGATTTCTGTGCACGCAGATTCCGTGAGGGCCTACTTATACTGTAACTAACAACTTATTCCTTCAATAAAATCCTTATTGCTGCTTACTAACAGTGAGTCATTGAGTGAGTGAGCAGGGTAAGGACAAGGGATAGCGTAGGGACAAAGGATCTTGAATATGCAAAACAAAGCATTACTATGTGCTTTAAAAGTACCAAATATTTTTAAACAACTGCTGATAATACCCACAAAAAATACAAAATACACTGTAAATAATTATATAATACAGTCATGACAATGTTTTTGGTCATTTAACTTATTTCAAGCTTACCTTGCCCCCCAAAAAAGTAAGGGATTCATCCAGTGGCTTCATCAGAATAAACAGCAAAAATCAGTTCAAGGCACTCTAACATGGAATAAAAAAAATGAAAACTCGTACTGAATTTTGACTTTTAAAATTTATTTGATTCAACTGTAGTTTATAGTGAATATATGTTCAATAATTTAAAGTGTTAACCATTATTTTAATGATACAGTTGAAGTCAGAATTTTTAGCCCCTCTGAATTATTAGCCCCTGTTTTTGTTTTTTAAAATAGTGCTTAAAAGATTAAAAGCTGCATTTATTTTAGCTGAAATAAAACATTAAGACTTTCTCCAGAAGAAAAAATATTATCAGACATACTGTGAAAATTTACTTACATCATTTGGGAAATATTTAAAAAAGAAAAAAAAAATTCAAAGGGGGGCTAATAATTTTGACTTCAACTGGATAACACTACAATAAAGATTTCTTCATGCTTTTTGGTTTGATTAAATCATAAAACTTAATTCTTTAACCTTAAATCTTTGGTTTTCTCTGATTGATTTCCCTAGACTTTGGGATGGGCTGTGTCTGTGTCATGCAAGTGCTTGCATTGCGCCAGTTGAGTGTTATTGTTATACATGTGACGGTTATTGGCATTTGGGCTCCAGGCTTTTCATTTATGAGCATTAATTTCTCATGGGAACTCTTGTACTCTTGTGAGGTTTAGTGTATCTTAAAGCCCCTTGGGGGCAAAGGAAAACTGAACTTTGCACTTATCAGTAATGAATAGCATCTAATGCCATAGGAAGTTCCCAGACACTGACATAGACAAATGTGTTTTCACCTACTAGAAAGAATAACGCTGATAACTGTCCGAGCTGTCATCTGGTCTTTTAAAGTAATTGCTTTTTTCATGCCGATCACAATGGCGCAGTTAACAGGGAGCCAGCACCTGTATCACCTTCCCTAAGAGTGCATGCCAATCAGAAGCATCTGGAATATTTTACTAGCTGTAAAAACCCCTCAAATTAAAACGTGTTTTTAGAATTATAACTACGCCACGTTCCTTGTCACAAAGCTAATCTGATGTTTTGCTCGTTTATGTGTTGATCTGCTTAGTCAATGTTACTAAACTGCAGCACAGCAGGGTGTAGTGCCTGATTCTGATCCAATATTCAGAGAATAAGCTCAGATTAGAACTGTGTGTGTGTGTGTGTGTGTGGGAGAGAACGAGAGAGTCATTAGCTTGCCAGTGGCCAGTATGGGGGATCTTATAACAAGCACAAAGCAAAATCAAAGGAGGAGTCTGATGAACAGACCACAAAGCTTCCCACACACACTCCCACTGTGATGTCTGTCCGAATCTGCAGAGGCTTGCGTGCCGTCTGTGTGTTTGTCCATGTGTCCTGGTTGCCTTGTTAACTCTAACTTTAACTTGTGTTGTGGGGCCCAATGTAAATTGGAAAAACGTCCTGGAAAGACAGGCCAGCAAATTACTAAAACACCAATTAAAAACTTTTTGATGCTTATATGGAACCTTTCAGCTTGTTAATCGAATGTTGACACATTGTTATAGATGTTTAAGTTAATTAACTGATATTCATATGAGATTTTTTTTGCTCCTTCAGTCGTACTGGTGGGGAAAAGTATATTTGGTAGCAGATGGCTTTATGTTTGGAGCTGCCAGCTGGTAACTGGAGGCTTTCTGCTTTGAGTCCCAATAGAGTCTCTAAATGAGCAGCATCCATGTGTTTGTTGGTGTGCATGCATTTGTTTGTGCAGACAAGCGTGTGTGACTACATCCATAGTCAAATCCTCTGCAGCTGACTTGACTCCCTTCCTGTTCTTTGTCATTCAATTAAATTTAAAAGTACAAGAGTTTAGCCTTTATGAACATGTACGACTCTGCCAGTGTGTGTGAAGCAGAGAAGTGTTCGAGAAACAGCTGCTGCTTTCTGCATCCCAGAGCTTTAGCACAGGAGACACGCAGCTGAGAGAATGACAGCTTATATAAAAGTCTCGGTTTGTGACTAGGAGACTCTGGAAACATCTTTCGCTGTATTTTTGACAAT